CACCCTCAGTCTTTAATAATGCATGTGTTTTGCCTAACCAACTGACATACCCTTCCGTAACATTCCAAATTCCACCAGCCTACACAATCCCTGAACAATGTCCTAGCTTTCCTGTTCCACCGGAGCTGGATAACTATGAAGAGATGGAAAAGGAGTGGAGGCTCAAAGAAGAAAAGCCTGAAAAAAATGAATGTCATGAAGGAGGCTATCTCTGAAGCAATTAAAAGTGGTCAAACTTTAAGAAAAATTATAGGACTTGAGTATGAAGACCTTTGTATGCACCCTGATTTTAGAAATACCCGAAGGTTACAAAATTCCAAAATTTGAAACGTTCAATGGTATTGGCAATCCCATGGCTCACCTGCGAGCTTATTGTGACAAAATTGTGGGTATTGGGGAAAAATGATGCATTAATTATGAGGTTGTTTATTCGAAGCCTGAGTGGGGAGGCGTTAGAATGGTTCACGTCTCAAGAACTCCGTCAGTGGTCTACATGGGGGGCTCTAGCCAAAGATTTTTTGGAAAAATTCCAGTTTAAGGTCGAAGCAGTCCCCGATAGATACTATTTGGAAAAAATCAAACAAAAGACCACGGAGGACTATCCTGAATATGCGTGTTGTTGGAGGAAAGAAGCTGCAAAGGTACAACATGTGATGACTGAAAGCGAAATAACCTCTACTTTTATTCGAGCTTAAGAGACCGAGTATTATGAAAGGATGTTATCCATGATGGGACAAAAGTTTTCGGAGCTGATCAAAATGGGAGAAGCCATAGAGGATTGACTCAAAACTGGGAAGGTTACGAGTCTCACTGCTTTGCTAGGAAAAAGAAAGAGGATGTCTCTGTTGTATCTTTTAGCCCAAGGTCAAGGCCATAAAGGTATTTTGGGTCTGGTTATTCCATTGGAAACACCAACCGATTCTCCACCGTTAATTACCAACCACCTCTACAAGTTCCACTTCCAATTTACTATCCACAACAGAACTACCAACCATCACCGTACAACTACCAACAATCACCACCAATCTACCAAAACACACCACCAAATCACCAAGCCAATGTACCAGCCTACCAATGTCCTGGACAAAACAGCCCAAATACCAATAATTTACCCCACCCTAACCTAGAAAGAATGCCTCCCAGAGTTTTCACTTTCTTTGAGAATTTGAGAGCAGTTGGATTGATCCAACCAGTATAATCAAGGACAATTAATCCCACAGCAAAGTTCTTTCGAGCGGATCAACGATGTGCTTACCATTCTGGAGGATCAGGACATAATAGAGAAGGGTGTATCAATTTAAAACATAAGATTCAAAATTTGATCGGTAATAGAGTCATCACTCTTCAGGCCCCTTCCCCAATGTGAATATTAACCCATTACCGAATCATGGGGAAGAGACCATCAATATGATTGAAAGTGACAAAGATTGGATCGCTAATGGGATCGTCGGTAAAACAAATGTTAACTCACTCATACCAATAGTAGCCTCTTTGACCATAAAGGCTCATCAAGAGTTTGTTGTAATAACTGCACCTCATCAGGCATTTGCTTTGGCAAAGGAAAGAAACAACGAGCAGCCTAAGGAAAATTTCATTGTCAAGGAGTCTACAGCTCAAGGGATGACACGTTCTGGAATATGCTATGTTACGGAAGAGTTAGCTCAAGAAACACGAAGAAAGCAGAACCAAAAAAGGCCGATCACAGAAGGTGAGGCTGAAGAGTTTTGGCGAAGAATGCAGCCTAAGAAGTATTCCATTGTCAAGAATTTGGAGAAAACTCCTGCTCAAATTTCTGTTTGGGCTCTATATATAAGTTCTGAGTGCCATCGGAAAGCACTGTTAAAGGTATTCGATGAACCATATTTACCGACGGGAACAAGTGGTGATTATCTGGCAACATGGTTAGTCATATCATTGGGAGTCACCAAATCTCTTTTCGAGTAGAAAAGTTACCAATTGAGGGAATGATGCACAACCGTGCCTTGTATATCATTGTCAAATGCAGGGACAATTTTGTAGCTCGAGTATTGATTGATAATGGTTCAGGACTCAATATTTGCCTGTTATCAACCCTTACTCAGCTAAATCATGATGTTGGAAAAATCCATCAAAGTCGCATGAATATAAGAGCATTTGATGGTTAGCAAAGAGAGACCATGGGGGAGGTAGACTTGTGTATCCAAATGGGGCCTGCAGAATTTTTCACAGAATTCCAAGTGATGGGTATATCCACAAGCTACAATATGTTGCTAGGAAGACCATGGATCCATGCGGCCGGAGCAGTTCCATCCACATTGCATCAAATCTTGAAGTTCATCTGGGAGGACCATGAAATTGTCATTCATGGTGAAGGGAGTAATCGTAGTGACCCTGGTTTCTCTGTTCCCGTTAGTGATGATTCATCTCAAGGTACTGACTTTCACATGGTGGAGATAATGAATGCTGCTTTTGATGATATAACATCAAAAAAACCAATGCCGTCGGTGTATAAAATGCTTGCCAGAACCATGCTAAGAAGCGGTTTTGAGCCTGGACGTGGGTTGGGCAAGAATTTTGATGGCATATCCGAACCCATTCCTATCCCGCTTAAAAATTTCAGCTTTGGCGTTGGTTATACCCCAACAAAGGAGGAATTATTCAAAGCAGAAGCATGGAAGAAGCATGGCCTTGATATACCAAAGCCTATTCCAGAATTGTACCAGTTATTTATTGCTAAAGCTTTAGAGTCCGAGAGTGATGGTCTAGTGGAAGGGATGGGACGATTGTTTTTGATGAAGGAGATTATGTTGTGATCTTGGAAGAATGCATTGCGACACCCACCATCCGAGATGCCAAACTTGAAGAGATGCTACAGAATTGGGTAGCCAATCCACTTATGATTCATCGAATTGCTTGGTAGACAAAGACAAGATTTGAAGTTTTACTTTTGAAAATCGGTGTAGTTCGGACGAGGCCCGAAACAACCTTTTATGTCACTTTATTTTCATCGTAATGTTTAAAAAGAAAATGAATCACATTGACATGAGTCATGATCAAAGTTTGTACGCCTTTTTTCCAATGAAAAGCTCGTTTATTTTTTATCTTGCCTCTGCAAATTACTTTCTAATATATACATTTAAATTCTTTGTATCTAACATGATTGCTTTATTTTCTTTTCAGTAAAAATGAATCTAAACTTGCCAATGTCATGAGATGTCACGAACATGGCGAACTAAGTAAAGTCAATGAGGATGAATGTGAAGAATATGATGAGGAAACTATGATGCCTGAACACCTTACTGACGACTTGAGGAACATTGTCGATAATAAAAATTCTAAAGTGGATGAGACAGAGATAGTCAACTTAGGGGATTACCAGTCGGTTAGAGAAACCCGAGTCAGTATCCATTTGACAGCTATAGAAAAGGAAAAATTGGTCTAGGTGCTCAAATAATACATCGATATTTTTGCCTTGTATTATGATGATATTCCAAGATTAAGCACTGATATTGTTTCTAATAGGTTGCCTATAAATTCAGAGTATTGCCCGGTAAACAGAAAACCAGAAAGTCCAAACCTGATCTGAGTTTAAGAATAAAGGAATAGGTCATCAAGCAGATCGAATCTAAGGTTGTTGAAGTGACTAAGTATCCCATTTGGTTGTCTAACATTGTTCCAGTAGCGAAGAATGATGGAAAGATTAGGATATGCGTGGATTATCGGGATCTCAATAAAGCAAGTCCAAAAGACAATTTCCCGTTGCCAAACATCCATATACTCATTGATAATTGTGCCAAGCATGAGTTGCAATATTTCATGGATTGTTTTGCGGGATACCACCAGATCTTAATGGATGAAGAAGATGCAGAGAAAACAGCATTCATTAACCCTTGGGGAGTCTACCATTATCGAGTGATGTCGTTTGGCCTCAAGAATGCTGGACCCACTTACATGAGAGCTATGACCACCATATTCCATGATATGATCCACGAAGAAATTGAGGTGTATGTGGACGATGTCATCATAAAATCCCGCGAGAGTTTAGATCATCTGACACACCTGGAAAAGTTCTTTAACAGGTTACGTAGGTATGATTTGAAGTTGAACCCATCCAAGTGTGCATTTGGAGTACATGCAGGGAAGTTACTCGGTTTCATAGTTAGTAGAAGAGGTATCGAGATTGATCCTTCCAATGTCAAGAAAATTCAAGAGTTGCCTCCTCCAAAGACTAAGAAGGAAGTAATGAGTTTTCTGGGGATATTGAATTACATCAGTCGATTCATAGACCAATCAACGGTGATATGTGAACCCATATTCAAGTTGTTATGAAAGAATGCGCCAACCAAGTGGACCAAAGAATGTCAGAAGGCTTTTGACACTATCAAAAGTTACCTTTCAAATCCGCCAGTATTGGTGCCACCACGTGCGGGTAGTCCTTTGTTATTGTAATTATCCGTCTCTGACAATGCATTTTTTTGTGTGTTGGGACAACATGATGAAACTGGAAGAAAGGAGAGAGCTATATACTACTTGAGCAAGAAGTTCACATTGTATGAGGCTTGTTATACCCTCTTAGAGAGAACTTGTTGTGCTTTGACTTGGGTTGCTAAATAATTGAGGCATTATTTGTCGGCTTATACAACACATCTTATTTCAAGAATGGACCCACTCATGTACATATTTCAGAAGGCAATGCCCACAGGAAAGCTAGCAAAATGGTAAATGTTGTTGAGTGATTTGATATTGTATACATGACTCAGAAAGCAATCAAGGTCCAAGCCTTGGCCGATCACCTTGCTGAAAATCCAGTAGATGAAGGATATGAACCACTTAAAACGTATTTCCCTGATGAAGAAGTATTCTTTGTAGGGGAAGACATATCAGAATCATATCCAGGTTGGAGAATGTTCTTCGATGGAGCAGTTAACTCTAGAGGATCAGGAATTGGAGCAGTATTGATATCTGAATTAGGACAACATTTTCCAACAACATCGAAGCTTAGATTACGATGAACTAATAACATGGCTGAGTACGAAACTTGTATTCTTGGCATCAGAATGGCTCTTGACATGAACATTCAAGAATTACTGATAATTGGTGATTCAAACTTGTTGATTCATCAAGTTCAAGGAGAATGGGCCGTGAAGAATCCTAAAATCTTACCTTACGTACAACTGGTGCGGATGTTATGTAAAAGATTTAGAAAGACCAAGTTCAGGCACACCCCGAGAATACAAAATGAGTTTTTTGATACTCTCGCAACCATATCCTCCATGATACAACACCCAGAAAAAAGTTACATTGACCCACTTGAGATAGGTTTAAAAGAACAACCATCGCATTGTTTACATGTAGAAAAGGAATCGGATGGAAATCCATGGTATATCGATGTGAAAAGGTACTTAGAATCTGGCGAATACTCTGAAAAAGCAACAAGCATCCAAAAGAAAACAATTCTAAGAATGACAAACAACTTCTTTTTGAATGGGGAAATTCTTTATAGGAGGACTCCTGATCTGGGATTACTACGATATGTGGATGCTGTAGAAGCCACAAAATTGCTCGAAGAAGTACACGCTGGAGTGTGTGGGACGCATATGAATGGGTTTACATTAGCAAAGAAAATCTTAAGGGAAGGATACTTCTTGATGACTATGGAAAATGATTGTGTTCGATTTGTCCAAAGATGTCAAAAATGTCAGGTACGTGGAGATCTGATCAAAGTACCTCCTCACGAGCTCAATGCAATGAGTTCTCCTTGGCCATTTTTAGCATGGGGCATGGATGTTATTGGACAAATTGAGCCTGCTTCCTCCAATAGTCATAGGTTTATTTTGGTCGTCATTGATTATTTCACGAAGTGGGTCGAAGCTGCTTCCTATAAAGCTGTGACGAAGAAAGTTGTGACTGATTTTGTTCGCAATAATTTGATATGTCATTTTGGAGTTCCTGAGTCTCTCATCACGAACAATGGTGCAAATCTTAACAGACATTTGATGAAAGAGATATGTGAACAATTCAAAATTACCCACCGTAATTCAACTGCATATCGTCCTCAAATGAATGGAGCCGTGGAAGCTGCCAATAAGAACATCAAGAGGATACTGAGAAAGATGATTGACAACTACAAATGTCGGAATGAAAATTTGACTTATGCCTTGCTAGGTTATCGCACCACAATTCGAACTTCAACTGGAGCAACTCCGTATTTGTTAGTATACGGAATAGAGGCAGTGATACCGACTGAAGTTGAGATACCGTCTTTGAGGATTATTCATGAAGCTGGATTGAGCGATGCCAAATGGGTTCGTGATCGATATGAACAATTCACATTGATTGATGAGAAAAGAATGAGTGCCGTTTGTCATGGCCAGTTGTATCAACAAAGAATGATTCGTGCTTCAACAAGAAAGCAAGAGTTCGAACATTTGAGGTAGGTCAATTGGTGTTGAAGCGCATTTTTCCTCATCAAGAGGAATATAAAGGGAAATTTGCACCTAACTGGCAAGGACTGTATGTTGTCCACAAAGTACTGTTAAAAGGAGCTTTGGTTCTAGAAGAGATGGACGGTAGAGTATGGAGAAAATCTATCAATTCAAATGCCGTCGACAGATATTACATTTGAAGAATGTTATTTCTTTCCTTTATTTCCTTGTAATCACAAATTATTTGTAATCATTGTCGCATTAATCATTGGGACTTTCATTTTGTACCTGAACTACGTTCGACCTGAATTCTCAAAAATAAGATACATAGGCGGCCTATGTCGACATCGGTTTCTTATCAAAATTTCTTATTCATGTTAACTATCAATAGGGGAACTACGTTTGACCTGATTCCTGCCTCAACTGGATACCTAGGCGCCACAAGGGTTCGGTCATATTCCCAATAAGATTTCCATTTCCCTTCATAATGCAAACTGGGACAGATCATATCAAATATCCAATTAGAGTATGATTTTAAGGAAATATCAAAAAATTGCAAGATATCATGACCTTCGTGATTACTATCAAATTTCTTTTAAAACATTTAACTGGGACAGAATTTTTGAGGAAGGCCTAAAAAATTCCATCAAGGGTACTCAGAATGTCAGAGTCAACTTCAAGTACTTCAATATGACATATCTACAAGGAGTTCTGAAATTCCAACAAGATACCTATCATTTTAGAATCTGAGACAAAGGGTTTTGTTTGTGTCGTGCATGTTGTGACAATTAATTGGCAGAGATTTTCTTTAAAACTATATTTCTAGAAACTTCGCACATAACAAGTTTTTAATTTAAATATGATCTTGTCTTTTGTCTATAGCGATTCGTAGGGTCAACCAAACTTCCAAAGATAGAAAGATAAGAAGCAAGACGATTGGAAAAAATCAACACAGATCAGTGTTCCAAAACTAACATTCTTTTGTGGATGCAGGAATAAATCAGATCGTCAAAGATAATATATTTCGGGAGAGCCTCTCAGCAAATATCTGATTATGAGTGAAACATATCACTTGACCAAAGAATACAACATTCACACTCAAATCCATCTTATTCAAATGCCAAGATTTCCATGCATATTAAATTGCCGAGAGGGCCATTCATATTCAAATGCCAAGAAGGCCATTGTATTCAAATTCCAAGAAGGCCATTGTATTCAAAAGCCAAGAGGGCCATTCATATTCAAACTGCCGAAAGGGCCATTCATATTCAAATGCCAAGAAGGCCATTGTATTAAATTGCCGAGAGGGCCATTCATATTCAAATGCAAAGAATGCCATTGTATTCAAATGCCAAGAAGGCCATTGTATTCAAAAGTCAAGAGGGCCATTCATATTCAAACTGCCAAAAGGGCGATTCATATTAAAATGCCAAGAAGACTATTGTATTCAAACGCCGAGAGGTCCATTCATATTCAAATGCCAAGAAGACCATGCATATTCAAACTACCGAGAGGGCCATTCATATTCAAGCTGCCGAGAGGGCCATTCATATTCAAACTGTCGAGAAGGCCATTCATATTAAATTGCCGAGAGGGCCATTCATATTCAAAATCCAAGAGGACCATCATATTCAAATGCCGAGAGGGCCATTCATATTCAAACCTCCGAGAAGGTCATGCATATTCAAAATGCCGAGAAGGCCATTCATATTAAATTGCCAAGAGGGCCATTCATATCAAATTGCCGAGAGGGACATCATATTCAAAATCCAAGAAGGCCATCATATTCAAACGCCAATAGGGCCATTCGTATTAAAATTGCCAAGAAGTCCATCCATATTCAAACTGCCGAGAAGGCCATTCATATTAAATTACCGAGAGAGCCATTCATATTAAATTACCGAGAGGGCCATCATATTCAAAAGTTAAGAAGGCCATCATATTCAAACGCCGAGAGGGACATTCATATTCAAACTGCCGAGAAGGCCATGCATATTCCAAATGCCGAAAAGGCCATTCATATTAAATTGCCGAGAGGGCCATTCATATCAAATTGTCGTGAGGGCCATCATATTTAAAAGCCAAGAAGGCCATCATGTTCAAACGCCGAGAGGCCCATTCATATTCAAACTGCCGAGAGGGCCATTCATATTCAAATGTCAAGAAGGCCATTGTATTCAAACACCAATAGGGCCATCATATTCAACCATCAAGAAACATTAGTCTATTTTTTATCACTGCTATACTAAAAGAAGAGTACAGCGAACAGTCATGTCGCAAATATGAGATACATATTTTATTTGCATTATGCCAAACTGATAGAAGTTAACGTAAAATATTCAAGGAGAACAGTTAAGTTCCAACATGGTGCGGATGACATTAAAATGGATGCAGCACAACATGGAAATGTTTTCTTCCCAGCGAACTGGGACATAGTCCAAAGAGGAGTGTTAAACTCTTAGGACGTGAGCTGAGGAGTAACTTCCACCAAAATCAAACCACACCCCTATAAAAAGGCGTGTGGGTTTTTCTTTTAGTTCATCGATTTCAATTTCGCATCCACCAGAGGCAACTTTCTAATCTGAGTGACAGCGCACCACGAACTTTGGAAATTATGTCCATGTAAGATCTTACTTATGGATGTGAAGAGCTGCACATTCATGACTAGGATGTCTCAAGCCTATTTTTCACACTCGTTTTATTTTTCACTCCTCCAAACCAAAGGTTATCTTGCATAATAGATTTCCTTTTCAACCGATCGAGTCGAACTACAAACAACCTGATTCCTTAGGTTTAAGGATATGTAGGCGGGTTGAATGTTGAAAACTCGGTTGTATTCCAACATTCCCTCTCCAATTTTATTCTCGAGCATTTTGATACCTTCATAATTCGGTATCGATGTGGATTTTAAATTCTTTTAAAATCATGCGTTAAATCAAGCTTATCGAACTATAAGTGGCCTGAATTCTATATAGCCGGAGATATGTAGGAAACCCGTCTCAAGGGTTCGGCCATGATTCCTAGACCCTTTGCCAAATCCTTCCCTTAAAGATGAATAGGGTTGGTCAAAATTGGTTTGGTCAATTTCATTTTTCTCGAATTGCTTGCATCAAACCAAGTAAAATGAGGGATAGCTATTGACACCCAATTTCGACCCTCCCCGGTATAAATTAGTTTTCGAGCTTCTTAAATTTCCAAACAATTTAAAATAATTAGTTTTATAAATTTTTCAAAAAATAATAATAATATATAAACTTTATATTATTTTGAATACTTTTGTCATTTTTCTTATAATTTTAGATAGCCTATATATTTTACATGTTTATGTATGTAGTTGGTATATTTTACGATTTTTTCATAAAATATTATAAATTTTAGTAAGTATTCTATTTAACTAATTTAGCTTAAATTATGGTTATGTTTTGAATTACTATTTTACAATTAAAGTAATTATATTACTAAAATAAAGAAGCTCGTTGATTAATTAGTACAAATTCATTTTATTTAAGGTTTATCCAAATTTATTATCCTAATTCAGTTTGGCTATTCATTAAACTAACCCCTCTTAAATTTCCAATTCAATTTTTGGGCCTATTCACCCATAGTGAGACTATTCCTTTTTATTTAATTTCAGCCTACCAATTCCCATTTCCAGGCCCATTTTTCTTTTTTTTTCTTCTCCCAGCCCATTTCCTTTTTAATTTCCAGCCCACTTTCTATTTTACATTCATCAACAATTCCAAACCCAACTCATTCTCAGACTAATTTTCCAGGCCCAATTCTCTCCCCAAAGACCAAACCCACAAATCCAAATACCCGACCCATCATGTAGGTCTTCTTCTCTGCTGAAAATCAGCGAGAAACCAGCGAAGAACGCAGTTAAGTACACTTCAAGCCAGATGCACGCTGAAATCCAGCGAGAAGTGGCATCCAACAGTACCATTGTAAACCTTCTTCTTCTTTTTCCTCAAAAACGGGCGACTCCAGCTCCAAGCGGCGTTACAGTGTACCATCGTTGTCCTTCTCGCTTGCAAACCCATCACCCTCACATCTACTTTTTCCCCTTTTGCGGATTTTCAGAGTAAAGATCCAACTCCCCCACGCCTCTTAGCTATTGCCTCGAAAAAGAGAATTTTGAAATTGGAATTCATCCTTAATCTTTCGGATTTCCCCTCTAACTAGTTTCAGTTCTTTTCATATAAGTACCCATCGTATATCACTGTCAAAGAGAGGAAGAAACATTTTCTCGAACATTAATTAGCTACCCTAAAATAGAGGGAATTTCCTAAAAAAAAGAGTCGTTTTGCTTTCTGGAGCTCATCGAAATAGATTCATAGTTGTGGAGTTCTTCACGATTAAGCTCATCTTCCTAGTCTCACTGCTCCAAGAAAGGTAATCTTTCCCCTTTTTCCCCGCTTCAATATGTTGTGTTATGTAGTCAATATTCGGTAGAGGTTCGCTATGAATAACAATTAGTTTCTTCTTATTAATCCTCTACATCAAAATCATTTACTGTGAATTTTTGAATCATAAGCATGAGTTAACAGGTTAATGATGTTTCTTTGGGATCATGTGTTGGTAGTTGTGTTCATTGGCTGGATTATTTGTCGAAAGCTAGCTGAATCTTCTTTAAATTTTCACTCGAAATAATAGACTATACATGTAGTGTTGACTTCGAGCATGCTGGATATCATTCTGTTTCTTCACTATATGATGGTGCATTTTGGTTGTATTCTTTTCCATTTTGATATATCACAATAGCTTTCTGGTCGTGGTTAATTTGATTTCGTAATGGTTATTCATGTTCTTAGATGATTCGAGGGCTGGTTGGGTCTCTTATGTACCAGCTATTGATGTTGTGCTTGTATTTCATCATAATATTGCTTTAACTTAGCTCATATTTATATTATTCTCTTACTTCTGAATATGCATCGAGTCCTATGTGTTAAGACTGTTCGGCTTGTTAGTATGGTTGTTTCTAAATTCTACATTTACGAACATGTTGTAAATTT